TGTAAATAGATTACTAGGCTGGTCTTGCAAAAATCAAAAACCATAATTGAAAACATTGAAAATGCAAAAAGAAAAGTTTATAATATTTTTGAATTTTAAGTAACCAAAGGAATGTAAGTAGGGCATGTGTTTGTAAGTTTAAAAATGCCTCAACCACTTAAATTCCCAAGTAAATAAAGCTGTTTCTCTATTTGGCAAAGATAAACTTTATAATGTGTGGGCTCATACAATTTTGAACCCAAAAATGCACCAAAAAATGCTCGACTAGCATTATTCTTTGAATGGCGTGTGGCCTTATATTGCCATAAATGGACGTACACACACAGCATAATTATTCCTTTACACGGCGAATAATCTTGGCGCGGATCGCTGACATGGCATGGCAAAGTTCGAATCACTGACATGGCACAGCTGGATCAAGGCAAGGACATGATGTGACAAAGTTCAACGTCCGACAACAAAGTCTAGAAGCTACTCAGTTTGAAATTTGTCAGAGGAATCATAAAATCTGGTTTGTCAGAGGATTTGATGTGACGTTCAAGCGTGTGTTATTTTTGAATTCTCAAACTCATTCCTAGATCTATCAGTTTTGTGCGCCGTGTTCTTGGTTTTGCTGAGCGCAATGAGCGCTACTTGTGTAAGCGGCGTTGTGAGCTGTGGTTTATGCGTCTACGAGCGGTTGCGGCATTGCGAGCGCCATTGCGAGCGGCAGTTTATGCGAGTGGCAGTTTGTGCAAGCAGCGCTACGAGCAGTTGCGGTGTTGCGAGCTGTGCTACGAATAGTTGCGGTGTTGCGAGCGGCACTGTCTTTGGTGTGGCTACCGCTTCCTCTTGATATTCGGCACTTGTGCTTCCTGGTATGTTCACCATGGAATGGCTTAGGACCACATTTAGAAATGGCATGAGGCCACATGCCATCTTGGGCCCTTGCAATTTCATGGCTAGCGTATTGTCATGTATGTTTTTATTTGCCTGCAGCTATGTGTATATCAAGATGGCATGAGGCCTCATGCCATCTTGGGGCCTTGCAAGTTCATCACTAGCATATTGCCATAGTTTCTTTACCTGCCTGCAGCTGTGTGTTTATCAAGATGGCATGAGACTCATTTCACACCATCTTTGGGATATAAGGCTGTTAATTCATCAAACATGTTCTTCTATTCAACATGCAGCAACAAAAATTAGCAAAACCATATGAGCTAATTACAAATTATCTTTGCAACCACAATGCACTATTAATTTTGGAGTGTCTCTCTTCTTTGGACCTAGTTACAAACACTAAACCACATTCTCGATAGGATTTGATTAATTGCACTCCCAGGGTCTTCTTGCAAAGAAGAATTTAACAAGCTTAAGAGTCCACAATCTGGTTGCTGTCATGTCCATTGTGTAGGCTTCATTGTTGAGGTCTGGAACAACCTTTGGAAAATCGTTATAGAAACAATCCTGAATTTCTTTCAGTGCCTCAGAAGCAAGCTCAATTGCATGGATTCCCTGCGACACATTGCCAAGAGCTTTAGATACGGTGAGCATTACTTTCCTGTACTGTACAATGTACCTGCTTTGGTAGACCACTGTGGGAAAGTTTTCCATGAGCTGTGAGATGCCAAGCAAGCATTCCACCGGTTCCAATGCAAGGCTGTTTGTCGGAGGAATCCATTCAATATCTGCAGAAACAAAACGAAAATACCATGTATGCAAGCTCAATCAATTGGCTAGAGCCTCGAACTTACAAAGGACCATTTTTGAGGAAATCGAGTTCATGTGCATCCATTAGTGCATCAGTCCCAATGCCCAGGACTGTGGCATTCTCTTCGTTTGCAATGAACACAGCTGCCACAGTTGTTTTGAGCCTCAACTTTGCTTCTGCCATCTGCTTCAACAGCTGCGTCACTAATGCAACATGTCCGAGGCAATCTGTAGTGCCTCGTCCATAGCCATCTTCAAGCTGGGTTAACTTAAACGGCGAATGTTCCTGAAGAAAACCAAACAACTATCAGCTAGTAATCAGCTCAATTTGCAAGAGGCAAGAGCAGTAGTTGCCCATTTGGTCGGATCAGCCACTACCACGTCCATATGACAGCCAACAATGGAGACTATTCTATCTTGCTCTTCACCAGGATATGAGGTTCTTCCTTTTTTCAAGGCCTTGAAAATAGATTGGTTTGAGGAGCAAAGGTCCACCGTTGTCGATGCTCGGCACTTCAAGCACCTTAGTCACAACAAGCGATTCCTGTGGTATCAGATTTGGAGGATTGTTTTGAAGCTTCTCCGTCTTGCCGATGATGTCTGTCAGCAGCGAAAGGAAGCTAGCCTCGCCCATTGTCATCTGTCGAAGAACAGAAGCCATAGCTACTACAGCAAATACACAGATTCTAGACACTTTTGCATGCAATAGCTGTAACTACTCGTTACCCTGCCTATAGGAGCAAACAAAGGCGACCTTATAAGCATACATGCTGATTATGATCATCGATAATGCCAAAAACATTTTAATATCTGAGCAAAAATATGACAGCTCATCTATAACTCCAATTTCCTGGACATATCATTCAGGTACTTCTGAGCGAATAATGGACTTGATCTTGGGTATGCTCACAAAGCCAGCTGGTTTGAGCACGTACGCATTTTCAGCAAGAGCCTTTCGTACCACTGGTTGTGATTTTCACAGCCTTGTCTCCAAGTTTACGCGGTGGTCCAGAAGGTCTTTTTAAATATTTTTAGCAAGAGAGTTTACATAGAAATTAATTCGAGTTCGCTTGATTAGCCGATTGTACTGACATTCCTTTTACTGTTTATGCACCAACAAGCTCACAACAAAACAAAATTTGGAAAACCTGTAACCCTTCCCTTGAGTACTTATTTGTTTTGTGCAGGCAGAGTACGAACGAGCTCGTGTCCACAAGAGTGACATGGAAAGGTCGAAAGAAATGGATGTTTAGGTGACTATGCTTGATGGTGCAATCTCAGCGTAGAAATTGACAAAGAAAATGATCATATGAAACATGTGAATGCCACCCTCCTTCGAAGTGGCTGACTCTTATCACCTATAGATTCCACCATCTCTTTGCCTCACCTTAATGTTGCACAAATCGGTTAAAGCATCACTATTGGAGGATCAAAGTGCTTTTTGCTCATGAATGTGGTGGAAGGATGATGAAGAGGGATAGCCTGGAAGTCACTGTGTCAAAGTGAACTTTGCAGACAGCGAAAATTTGTCAAAAAAATGCTCTCAATTCAGTCCATTTCATTCATTCCATTTACCTTGAAACTTGGAATGCAAGGTACTTTTGGGATATGTGGGAGCATTTGAGTTGGAGAACCAAGTTTGTGTTCTCTCCTCCTAGCCTACATTTCCTCTTTTTTCAGTTCTTTCTTCTTTTTATTAGATTCTTTATTTTCTTTGTCACTTTATGTGAGTTTCTATATTTCAATTTGGCTTTATATTTTTTCCCATGTGGTTTTCTTTTGTGACTCCAAACTTTACACCTCCCTTTTCACTTCTTAGTCTATCTTTTACTCTTTCTTTGTATTTTATAGTTTCTTTCTTTCAATTTTTTCTTGCTCCAATAGTTACTCTTGGGCATTTGTTTTGATTGCATTATCAATGGCCATTGGTTCTTTTCATGCCAAAGGCACTTGATCTTCTAGTTATTTCCTATTAAGAGCTTTACCACAGTGAGAGTGTTTAGCACACATGAGAGTGAGAATAGAATATCCGTCACATATCTTAAAGTCCTATAAAAATGAGATACAAGGCAAATGGGGTAATCAAGCATGTAGCTTGTTCGCAATGTTGAGGGAGCCTTAGCCTTAACAAGAGAAGGCTTAAATTCACACTCCACAACATGTGGTGGCTTGTGATTTTCCCATCAATTTTGCCACTACTTTGCAACTTGGCCCTCTTTCTTCTTTCAAGCATTTTAAAGCTTGAGTTTTTATATATATTTTTATATTGCCTTGGTTTTCTGGCACCTTCCCCCTCCCATTATCACAAATTATTTGTCATAGTACAATTCAAAGACATTCTTGCAAATGAATAATATATTTTAACATATAACTTCTATAATTTCCATGATATAATCTCTTTTGAACTCCTAGATTGGGGATGAAACCTGTTAAAAAAGAGTGAGACTAGATCCAATAAAAGACTACCTGCTTTATGTGAGGTTTGTTCTTCCTTTAGGATCATAGCTGCTTGCATGGCTCTTCAAAACTGGTCCATGCTCAAATAGGTGCTACAATGACCATAAAAACATATATCTATCTATCTATCTTCACTTTGAAAAGGGACATTGCTAGTAAGAGGGTGGTATGACTCCTTCAATGTCATTCTGTGCTTCCAAGATGAGGTCTGAGTTAACAATGGAATTGGTTACATTGATCTTTGAACACTTGAATGGCCATGGATTATGCTTTAAACCCCACATTACCACCACTTAACCACTTAGCAAAGAGGTAGCAATTCTAGCTTTCAAAACTAGAACAACAACTAGAGGCCACCAGATAAAGACCTTCAAGGGCCAGAGGGATGTTTATCCTTCATGCTCAAGATCACTAGAAGGGTCAAAAGTTGGCGAAATGCATCATAGTGGGACCTGCCTTACAAAATTTGCATTCGATTGCATATAAATTTATATGTCACACTCACATCTCTCTTGCTAGTGTAAACATTTTAACCACCTGATAAATTTAAATAGACCACAGTCACTTTTACTTTACACATCAACTTTGATCTTTGATCAACTTTGATGCATCTTATTTGCAATAACCCAATCACTGCTCACAATGTCCATATTCTTTCATATTCTTTCTTCTAGTCGAACATTGCCTGTTCTACCTGATGATGATGAATGCCTAGTGAATCCCAACATGGCACACAAAGTCCAAAAAAAACATAACAAATTAAAAGTTTGATTCATCACAAATACTGACATATAAGAGGATCTTGCCACAAAAGGCATATTATTATTTTGGCATTTAGATATTCCAGGGAGTCTCTATAGTTTCCTTTTGGACCAGTCGTTCAAGTTTGTATAGGCCAAGAAGAAGAGCCAGTTTGCGCTGCCCAGAGCGGCAAGCAACCAAAAGAAGTAATCCAAATGCCCATCATTGAGGTTCCGCGGGATCCACCCTCGCTCGCCAGTGATTCTCGACGTGATGCTCACGAGAAATCCCGAGAGAAAACACCCCACTGACGATGCGAAGAACACCATGCCCACGCCCAGGGTTCTCAGATTCTCGGGAGCTCGCTCATAGATAAACTCCACCAATCCCACGTAGTAGAACACCTTGGAGCCGCCGATGAGCACAAACTGGGGGATTTGCCACAAAACGATGGTCCCTCGCTGGCGATGGAAATTCGCGAGACGCTCTGTTTCCAGCACAGCCGCGCACGCCATGGCCGCGGTCATCGCCACAAGCCCAGCTCCCATCCTCTGGAAGAACGTGAAACCCCGCGAATTCCCAGTCGCTCGACGCATCACTGGGACCAAGACTCGATCATAGACAAGCGTCCACACCAGGAAGCTGATTGGATCAAACGAGTTGAGCGAAGCTGGCGGGATACGAAAGCCGCCAACTTTGGTGTCCATGAGCGCGGCCTGCTCGACGAAGAGCGAGAACGTTTGAGCTTTCATGGTCTCGTACACCACCGATCCCAGCCACACCCAGAGAATTCCCGCCAAGCTGGATCTGGAGTCCTTGTGCAAGAGCTTGGCAAAGGGGTTTCCGGTCAAGATGCAATCGTATCTATAGAGCTTGGCAGCTCCGCAAAAGACCGCAATCCCGAGGAGGATGGCACCCCCGCAAACGAAGAGAGCGGTGCTAAATCCCATCCGATCTTCGATATACACCACCCCCAGCACCGCCAGGAGAAGACCCATGGAGGAGCAAAAGTAGTACCAGCTGAAGTAGGAGCTCTTGGACGCGGCCTCGACCGGATCCTCCTCATCGAATTGCCCGGCTCCAAATGCCAGCAGCGACGCTACGAATCCCTTGGACAGAGCAACCACGTAGAGCGCCACGAAGAAGAGCCAAGTTACGGCGAGACTTGGCGAGTCCTGGTGCTCGAGGAACAGGACCGCGAGTGAGAGCAGAGCTAGTCCGCCAAAGAAAACGAAAGAACCGGCCAGAGTTGTCACGAATGTCCCCAGGTAGGAATCGGAGATGTACGCGACGAGCAGCGGGGAGAAATCATGAACGCCCGTCCAGATGCTAACTTGGCTCGACGCGGCCGCGTTGGAAAGGCCGAGCTTGGAGACCATGAACAGGACCAAGTTGTAAGAGACGCCATAGAGCGAGAGAACCGCGAGGCAATTGAAAAGAAGCACTGGGAAAGTGGAGCGAGCACCCCCTGTTCGCAAAGGCAGCGCGCGATTTCCATAGAAATCTAGGCTTACTTGTTTCCCATGCTGCAAAAGGGGCACTGTAGAGTGCTCCTCGTTGTAGTGATTGGTCATATCCCCAAACTTTCTTCTGAAGAGTGGGTACGAGTACGCTGGAAAATCATGTCAGAGTAGTCGATTTCCGACGCATGCAAGGTTTCGAATACGCGACCTCGTCCTTGCCAGCCTTATGCTCTAACCATCTAAGCCGACACGTCTTAGTTCTTAACGTCTCCTATAAACTCCTTTCGTTTAGCGTTAACCATTTTAAACACTCGAAGCCCCAGATTAGGGTTCTTCCAAGCAGGTATGCCGGGGATTGGCGAAGTGCTCGCCCTTCCGGCGCCCAAGCCCGGCGACATCGATGGCCCCCTCCCGCCCGCGCAGCTCGTCAAGGCGGAGGACACGGAGATGGAGGATGCGGCGGCGGCGGCGGATGTTATCACCGGCGCCAAGCCCGCCACAGTGGCCTCGCAGACCCGCAACATAGGTATGATCCATCCCCCCCCGGACATCAGGAGCATCATCGACAAGACCGCCCACTTCGTCGCCAAGAATGGCCTGGATTTCGAGCGCAAGATCATGACCAACGAGCAGAAGAACGTCAAGTTCAACTTCCTCAACTCCTCCGACCCATACCACGCCTACTACCAGCACCGGATCTCGGAGGAGAAGAGCGGCAACGGCCCCCCTCCGCCGCCGCCGCCCTCTTCCGCCACCGATCCATCCAAGCCACCGCTCTCCGCCACTGCCACCGCCGCCGCCACCGCCACCGCCACCGCCGCCGCTGCCGCGGCCCAGAAGTTCGATATCTCGCAGTTCATACAGCCGTCCAAGGTGGTGGAGCCGCCGGAGGCCGAGCAGTTCCTCCTCAAGCTCCCCGAGGGGCTGACGGGCCAGGACCTGGACATCATCAAACTCACGGCTCAGTTCGTGGCAAGGAATGGCAAGGCGTTTCTTACCGGGCTGACGAGCCGGGAGCACAACAGCGTCCAGTTCAGCTTCCTCAAGCCGCAGCACAGCCTCTTCACCACCTTCACGGGCCTCACGGACTCCTACTCCAAGGTGCTGCTGCCGCCCAAGGGCCTCCTGGACAAGCTCAAGCGCGACCTGTCGGACAAGATGTCCATCCTGGAGCGCTGCCTCCACCGGCTCGAGTGGGAGAGATCGCAGGAGAAGGCGCGGCAGAAGGCCGAGGACGAGGAGGAGCAGGAGCGGATGATGATGAGCAGCATCGACTGGCACGACTTCGTGGTGGTGGAGACGATCCACTTCGTGGAGGAGGAGGACGACGCGTTGCCGGCGCCGGTGACGCAGGAGGAGGTGATCCGCAGGAGCAAGGCGCTGACGGACGAGGAGGTGGCGGCGGAGACGGGGGCGGGGGCGGTCAAGGAGGTGGAGATGGAGATGGACGAGGAGGAGATGCACCTGGTGGAGGAAAGTCGCAAGGCCGCAGCCCGGCAGCAGGAGGCCGCCAACGCCAAGGAGGTTGTCCAGGTGATTGTCCCGGTGGACGAGGACGAGCCGCCGATGAGGATCGTGAGGAACTGGAAGAGGCCGGAGGAGAGGATGGCGACCGAGAAGGACCCCACCAGGATGGTCATCTCTCCCATAACTTCGGAGGTGATCCCCATCAGCGAGATGGCGGAACACATGCGGATCTCGCTCATCGACCCCAAGTTCAAGGAGCAGAAGGAGCGGATGATGGCCAAGCTGCGGGAGAGCACGCTCGCTACCGACGACGAGATCTCGCGGAACCTCATGGGGCTGGCTCGGCTGAGGCCCGACATCTTCGGCACCACCGAGGAGGAAGTCTCCAATGCCGTCAAGGCCGAGATCGAGAAGAAGAAGGAGGAGCCGAAGCAGGTGATCTGGGACGGCCACAGTGGGAGCATCAGCAGGACAGCCAACCAGGCGCTTGCTCAAAACGCTGAGGAGTGGGACGCAGCTACCGGAGCGGCCAAACCAACGCCACCTTTGAAGCCACTTCCACCACCTGCTGGACTTGCTGTTAACATCCCTCGGGTACAGGCGACTATCCAGGCTCCTCCTGTTCCTCCGAGGCAGCCTCTCTTTCCAACTCCCATGCCTGCGGTCCCTCAGCTTGGAAACAGACCCATGACGCTACCGACGATGGCAATGCCTCACTATCAGTTTGTTCCTGGGATGCCTCCACCACCACTTATGCAAATGCAGCCGCCTCCACCAGCTTATCAAGCGATGCCTCCGCTACCCGACGATGACATGTTGATGCCGCCACCTCCGGAGGAGCCCGAGCCCAAGAGACTGAGGCTGGAAGATTCGCTTCTCATCCCAGAGCACCAGTTTGCCTTCCAGTACCCGGTGCGTTTACTCTCTGCTTCTTCCTTCCTGTCTAACTCTTGTTTTCCTGCCAGGGACCAATTCCTGTCTCGGTGGCTGTACCTACAGTCGAAGGTGAAGGCAGTCTCAAGGGCCAGGTGCTGCAACTGACAATGCCGTCGGTGTCGGAGACGATTGCTAGCCTCAAGGAGAAGATTGCTGCAGAGATCGGTCTACCGGCCAACAAGCAGAAGCTGAGCGGACGCATTGGGTTCTTGCGAGATACGCAGTCTCTTGCCTTCTACAACATTGCACCTGGCGAGAGCCTTACCTTACTCCTCAGGGAACGAGGTGGCAAAAAGAAGAACTGAAAATGCTGCGTAAGTTTTCGTATTTACCTTTTCGATGGATCCGGAACTAACATGAGAAAATGACAGTGTGGCTTCCTACGAGTCAGAGATCGTTGCTAGGTACATCCAATGATCATTACCTACGGTAAGTTTTTTATTATCTGCATACAAGAAAAAGGATTGTTGTGCTCTTCAGATCAAATGGAACCGTCAATGAAATTTACCGCTTCCTGGAGAGATTCAGTATAGAGAGTATTTGATGCGTGTTCTGCATGACGAGTTTCCTAACTCTTACGTTCCAGGGACGAGCTGGATGAAACCTGCAGGCCGGCACTTCAAAACACAGGCATTTCCATTCGAAAACGGACCTTTCAAACCGGCACGATTGTGTCGTATGTGCTGCAGTGCTCGAGTCGCTTCATGACGTATTCGATGAACTCGCAGATGGGCCTGAAGGCTGACATCGTCGTCCGCTCGTGCACCGTTGTCCCAGCTGACAGTACGAAGCATCGATAGCTTTCGTTGGTGGATCGTTGCTGTTCCATGGGCGGCTGCGGTTTCATTGGGGGCAGCTCGTCAACTTCTTCGTCGTGGTCAGAAGAGGGAGATTCCACCATAATCGCTTTCCCATTCCTGGATCTGTCCTGTTCTTCCTTGTCAACGATGGCTTCGTTGTTCTTGGTAGTATTGTCGTGCCAGACCTCGAAGAGCTGTGTTTTGCCGCCACGACTCACTTCGACGATTTCACCTTCTCCCATAGCAGCAAACCAAGTAGGTGGTGCAGCTTCTTCCTCAGGTCCCGCTGCCGAGCTGCCTCCTCCCTTCTTCACCAAAAGACTCTGTGCGGCTTTTTCTGGTTTGAAGTGGGATATCGGAGGAAACGGACTTTCCAGAGGAGTGTTCAGGTTTTTCGAGCTTGTTGCCCAGTTGATGCACTTGTGTGTGAGGAAGTGCTGTGCGTGAACCGGGAGGCTCTGCGTGTACAAGCATTTTGGATCACAATCACATCCTGGATTAAGGAAATACGCACCTCGATGTGATCTGACGAATGAACGGAATCAGTAAACGCGACACATTGTAATCGCTGCAGCAGGCCTTGTCCTGTAAGATAGCAGCGAATAGATAGCAAATCTTTCTAATGAGCCAGCGGGCTACCTCCGTATTCCAAGAGAAGGCATGTCTGTACGCCACCGTAAGAGTGAGCAACCATGGCAATCTTCTGTATGTTTGACATTTTCGTGCGAATGAAGTCCCATGCATGCCTGACATGCGCATCCGGATGCGCCGGAACCTACGAAACAATCGACCTGGATGCAATACCAAGAGTTGCGAGAAATGTACCTTCCTCTTGCCCTTTGATTTGCGTTTGCTGCGCTCTACCTTCTGGCGATAGGTGTTTGGATTGAGAACGAGCACGGCCATGTTCTGAGTGTGTGCCCAATCTGCATATATATCAATGCTTAAGACCTCGAAACGAAGTTACACAGTTTACCGAGAAAAGGCAAGACGCTTCCAGAGCGAAAGGAATCCTGCAGAAGTAAATAGCATTAGCAGGCTCGACAAAAGTTCTAGGCTAGTTAGCAAGAGGAAAGTACGTTGATACAGAGTCTTCTTGACCATTGTCCCGCACTGTAGACGATTATTAACAGCTTTAGAAAGAGTGAATATAAGAGAATCACTTACGAGACACTTCCAGAGCCACACAGAAGGACGAGCAGCGTTGTAGCTTCATAGGCATTTGGTGACAGGTAAACGGGGGCTCGCACCTGAAAGTAAACATAGATAACATGGAAATCCAGGGATGGAAGCTGACCTCTTTCTTCAGGATCGATTGCGAAGGTAGATTCACCTTTTCCATGTGGTATGGAGCCTATAGAAGGAAAAACATGTTAGTGATAGCAATAAGCATTAGAGCAAACAAACCCCTTGCATCTTCTCGTGGATCACCTCCGCGACTGCGTCTGCGACCTCATCGTAACTTTCCTGAAAAAATAAAGATTCATCGACACTTCTCTCGAACCGGTGCGTTCACCTTCACAAAGCTGTAAGGTTCGCCTGCGTAAGAAGAAAACCGTCAAGAGAAGGCTTGAAATGCAGGCTCAAGACATCAGAAAATGCCCCGGCGCGCATGCAATGCAAGCTCGATGCAAGAAAGAAAGAAGATCCATGGCGGAAGAGTCGAGGTTATCAGTTGCGCACACAGATCACCAAGAAAGAACGATTGCCGGCACGAATCGAAATATCGATCGCGCTCTCAAATCCGGCACAGAAAGATCCACGGCGGAAGAGTCACTAGATTATCAATCGCGCACACAGATCATCAAGAAAGAACGATTGCCGGCACGAAATATCGATCGCGCTCGCAAGAAAGAGAAGCGATCCGAGAAAGCAAACACAATAACATCGATCGCGCGCAGGAATCTCACGGGATGGCAGCGAAGATCACCTGATCGAGCGTCTTCAAGCTTGAGATCCTTGTTGACAACGTAGCCGAGGGATTGGAGCTTCTCGGAGGCGCTCATTTCCTTCCTCGCCCACTTGGGACACCGCATTTCGAATAGCCTAAAATCCCCGCTCGCCACACTTTATACCCTTGTAACCGGGCTCGGGATCGAATCCTGTTGTCAAATAAAAAAGGCATATTCCTAGGTTCTATTTTATTAGCTTTGTTTAGAGTACCTAACTTTATCGTTTGCAAAGCTTACCTTTTTAGAAAGCGAAGGTGCACTGTTCCATTCCTAGGAGCACTCTTCTGCCCTAAAATGGCGATGGCGATGGCAGTATCGCTGCCCAGGTATTCTCCGCCGCTAGGAATCGCTAGGGACATCCAATCCACGCCCCTTAGTTCTAGCATTAGGCATAGCAGCAGCAGATCAGCAGTGCTATCATCCTTCTTGCCGGGAAGGATTTCTCTGCGGCCCGGGATTCCACACCCTAGATCCAGGAGGAGCTTGACAGTGGTGGAGGCGAGAGGCGGCGGCTCAGTGGACGCAGTGGACAGGCTCGTCGCCGCCGTGAGCTACTTGCTGCCGCTCTTCGATGGGATCCAATACGGGCGCTACCTCTTCATGCAATTCCCCGTGTTGGAGCAGGCATTGGAGCCTCTGTTTCCACTGCTGCGGGCTTACAAGAGCTTCCCCTACGCGAGCTTTGTGGCCTTCTTCGTGCTCTACCTGACAGTGGTGAGGAACCAGAGCTTCAGCCGCTACGTGAGATTCAACGCGATGCAAGCGGTGGTGCTGGACGTTCTCACGATTGTCCCGAATCTGGTGGAGCGGACATTTGGCCCCGCCAGAGGATTGGGCTACAGCCTCCTCGTCTCCTTCTACAACACCGTGTTCTTGTTCTTGGTCGCTTGCTTCGCGTATGGAGTGATTTCGTGCGTGTTGGGAAGAACTCCGAGGCTGCCATTCGTTGCCGATGCTGCGGACGCACAGATTTGAGAGCGTGGCTCTTTGTCTATAGAGCTTTGAGAAATTTCTGGTGAATGTACCACGCAATTACCCTCAAATATCCCTAATCTGCCTGCCTCTCCTTCCCAAACGCTGTAAGCCGCGATATTATAATTAAAAATAAATAAATAAATAAAGGATTATGTGCTCCGTCACTGCACCGGCTTGCGATTCCGGGATCTATTACCTGGAATCACTGCTTAATGGCGCGAAAACTACGTTTTAAAAACAAAGGGAAAGGGAAATTTTTAAAATGCCCTGTTGGCCCTTTAAATCTTTTCACTCTTATATAGGTTCTTCGCTGTCGATCGCTGTCCTTGAATTAAAATCCACATCACAGTCAGTGCTACAATATGCTATTGCTGGGATTTGAGAGAGATTATGGTGTTAGCGCTTAAGTGGCACCTCTCTGAAGTGACGTGGGATCATGTGTGCCACGTCACTTTAGCGCACTTCAGAGGGTTCTTGGACAACCGAAAAGATGATTCCCCCAGATTTGGGTGTTTGATCAGCTGGAAGAATCACTCCATGGGCTCTAGCTGCTAGGTAGTGGATCGTGCAGCCGCTCAGGATTTGGGATCACGGTTGCAAGTGCAAGTGGTTTGATATTGAGGCAGCAGACCTAATGGTGAGAAAGATCATGTGGCAGAGCGAGAAAGATCCTGTGGAGCAGCACGACCTGACAGAGCACAACTAGGAACACTCAGTTTAAATATATGATAAATCATAATTACAATATAATTGAATACCAAGCTTTTATTCTGAAATTAATTTATAAAACAAAGTATCATAAATTTAGAAGAGCGTTGCCTTAAACCATTAAAATACATCGATTTAGTACTATACCAAATAGGCCGCCCCGCCCTGCACCCACATGTAGGCGGGTGCCTTAGTTCAATTTATTAATAATGCTGTATTATCACAGACAATAGCCAATTCGACTACCAACTATACACAAATATACTACCTCATCTCACTATCTTGGGATTTGCCCAAAAACCTAAATGTACTAGTCCTAAATGTACTTGTCCCAACTTGTTCACGAAGAAGCTAGAGGGCCCTTGCTTTTTTATCCAATAATATTTTGGTTGATAAGATAACTTTTTATCTAGTTGTGTATCTATAGTTTTGAAGCTTTTTCATTGTTTGATAATGTGTCCAGACATCTATCATGTAATATGAATTTAAGGGAGGTGGCAATGTTATTCATTCATTTATTCATATACACATAGTCTTACAGGCATGAGACAAGAGATTTAAAAATAAAGATCCTCTACCTAGTATTTTGTAAGCTTTTATATTGATTATCCATTATCCTAAAATAACTCCCCCTTTGCCATTAGTTGAAGTGCTAGTAAAGTATGCTTTAACATTTTATGCTTTTTTTCTACTTTTCAACTGTAAGATTTACCATCTGGGAAATGTTATTTTTAGTAGCAGACAAAATATCGCTTTATAAATTTACTTTATGTCTCCTTTGTAAGATCCTTGCAAGTTGAGAGTGCTTGCTTAAAATAATTTTGAGCTTAATTATAATTAATTAGCTATTTTCGAATGGCATTGTGATGAACTCTCTATCCACATGGGATGATCATGGAAAACTGAATCTAGTGACATTGCTCTATGGTTGTAATTAGATCAAATATGTACTTTGAAACTAGTATCCTCAAAGCACATTGGTAAAAACAGTAGCTTTCATAGTTAAGTATGTAAAAATAAAAAAATTCAAGTAAATAATTTAGCTAGTTCAATCATCAGATTTAAGTAAAAAATATTATGTCTTTACCCAAAATAATAATTGAATCAGAAAGTTATCAAAGTTAGTAAAAGTTTGTAATCCAATTGAATATGGTAATAAAAAAACAAAAAAGCTTACAAATTAGATACATCCTTGAAAAAGAACATTCTTCCATCTTTTTTGTTTACTTTAGAAAACATATAAAAGAAGAGGTATCTAGAATATTCAAGTATATTTTATAGTATATTCCCCAATCTAGTGGTTCTAATTCATTTGTAATCAAGTTTTAATTTTAATATTCTTCCTTATCGTTAATATGAACCATGTTAAAATTTCTAGCACTAGCAATGAATATGGAGTAAGGAAGGGGAGCAAAACTAATGCCACCATAGCAAAACGCCTCCCCTTAGGTGATCACTCTTTTAGTATTATATGAAGGCACAATCAATAGTTATAGTAATGATATAGGCGATGTAAGAGGCCATTAAAGAAATATATGTGTTTTATACAAAAAAAAATATTTTTGGTTTATTTCTTTTCTCTTGCTTCTCTAATTTACAAAGCTAACAAGACAACATGATTTGAAAGTGTATAATGATTTTATCTTATATAGTTTTTGACACTTTCTTTCTTTGAAAGTGTGTTTTAAGCTTTTTAATTAGCATCTAAAAACACTCTAGAGTTTTAGGTTTTATTTAAGATAGTTTATGATTCAAATGTAAAGGAAAAAGACTTGCACTTACCTATTAAGGGTCTTAGGGTTAAGTGTTAAATAATACTACCTCTCAAGAAATCTAAATTTAAGAGGTTACATCATGTTACTTGCATAGTAAAGGTTAAAGAGTTATATTGTTTTTTCATCTTTGGTTGAAAAAATATGTTATAATTGCTTTTCTATTTTTGTTGAGTTTGGATTTTAATAAACTCTCATACCATTGAATCAAGTAATATTATTACTTAATAAAGTCAATGCATTTTGAATGTCAACTAATATATAGCCATCAGAACCACTTTAAGGTCACAAAGTTTAATGATGGTGGTGGTGCTTGATTGCTCCTCTGGAAAGCCATTCAGTATGAAAATAAAAACTAATTACTTTAACAGTTTTTATGTGGAAGAAGTACTAATGAAAAATTTAATAAGAAGATAAAGAATATAGGTGTTTTTGCACAGGAAAAAGTAACAAATCTAAGGCTACTATGATCTTGAGCTCCTTGGGTCATGGGGATTTTCTAGACAACTATGAAAAAAGGGAAGTTGTGCCAACATTAATTTGGAAAACCAACCTGTTGTTCACACTTTTTATTTTCTTCTAAAAGTCTTATTCTTTATGCTTGAATGAATGCTAAAATTCTTTCAAAAATTATTCTCACCTCACTACCTTCAAATACTAATTGGTTTATTGGATTAGAAATGCAATCATATTATAGAAGACTCTATCGATCTATCACTCTAGTCAAATGTATCTTAGGATCTTAGATGTATCAATCACTAAAGTCAAATGCAGATCATTATCTTTCTTTTAAAAATCTTATCACTTTAAAGAAACCTGTAAATCTTTACAAAACTACCTCCATAATCAACCCTCGATAGAGTGCAGAAAATCTATGGGCAGGCGTAGCCAGTGTGCTGCCGCTGCTGGACAGTCTCACCTTTCATGGTGGGAGTCAAGAGCATGTGGCAAAGGGGGATTCTAGTACTAACTTCATACCTCGTGATCTTGTTTGCGGAAATGACAGCACATCACCATGCAGAGGAAAAAGATACAATCATCAGTGCGGTGACCATACCATTGCGACCATTGCCCCCGCCATTGCCACCACCACGTCCAGGACATCCAAGAGATCGAGATCCTCTTAGCAAGCACATGAGCAAGGGCTCCTTGATGGGAGGAGTTGGCTACAACTTAGGCTCTGGAGATTGGCTTGATCTCTTTTAACAGTTTTTAAATCTCTAGAAGCTTAGGCGTTTTCTCTTGAAGAAACGAGTGTGCCCTACTTTGTTCGCGGCTTGCCAGAATCTGTGAAGAATTGGATTTGGATTGGGGTGATTTTCAATGAACAGTAGGATACAAAAACTGTGAGGATCGGTACCAAGGTACATTGTCCAAGTTTTGCTTTTCTGCCTGCTTCAGTGTGATCATGCAGATGCTGTGGTGTGTTTGCTCACTGGCTCTGTTTCATGGATGTTGAAGGTTGCAGTATTTTGAGAGAATACAGGACAGGGAGAACGGTATGATCTTTGTGGATATTATAATTATCAATGGTCACTGGTATTTTATATCAATATATGTCTGAGTTGCCATCTGTACTGCGTGCTTGACTAGATTATATCTGTGCGCGCTTTCGGAATGTTCGGAAAGAAGGGTTATAAAAGGTTGACCATGCGGATATAAGGTAAAAAAGTTCTGTCGACTTCCCAGGCCAAGCACAACCCTCTTATGACGCGCTATTCACAAGAAATACGACACCTTAAACTTTGAACTGGTCGCGTACACGCATCATGTATTGTGTGGAAGAATACGTAGAGTCAAGTCTCTCTCTCTATAAAGACTTCCATTCTACTCGAGCTTGATATCTTGGCAGCGATGAAAATGGCGCTATTTGGCAGAGAGGTGGCGGCGACCCAGAGGAGCGCGTTGCTTCTTCTTCTTTCTCTATTCCTGCTACTTTCGATCTGGATCCCAGGCGGCGGTGCCGAGGAATCACCATATGAGATCGCCCACTACGGGTTTGAAGTTCCTGGATCCATGATCCACCGGATCCAGCCAGCGATTGGATCGATTGGACGACGCTGGCTACTGCAGCAATCCAATTCCAGCGACGGCGATGGATCCGGATCCAGCGATGATAACAACGACGACGACGACGACGAGACGATCACGATCTCGCACCAGGCGATCGCTGGGATCGCGGTGGGAGTGTTCTTCGTGATCGCGTTCGTGGTTCTTGCGGTCTATGTGTGCCGGACGCGCAAGTACATCGAGCAGCGGCGAGAGGCGTCGCTGGCGAGGGCGAGAGCGGCGGAGCTAGGCTGGGCGGGGGTGGATCTCGAGGCCGGCGGCAGTGAGGAGGGCAGCAGTGGCGGCCACTCCATGCCTACACCGCAAAGAGCTCTGTTTCCACATCAATCCAGCACGGGAAGATAGATGAAGAAAACGATTCGACTGATTGATTTGTACCTGGAGAGCTAATTAGTAATGTATAGACACTTGATTTTTTTCCTGTGAATCATTCATTGTCCAAGCTTTGATCATCAATCTTGCAATGTGATAAAATTTGGCTCGCGCTTTTTCCTGTCCAAGCTTTCATGGTAAAACTTTTGGCTTTTTTTTTGTGAATCAGCATCTTGTGTTGAAATTCTCCCAAAATTTTTTGAAATTACTAAAGGACAAGGTTCGGCAAGGCGAAAATCCACCTACGTCGTAGAAATTGGAACTGACTTTCCATTAAGGCTGCCGGGAAAATTTTACAGTTCCAGTTCCGAAGGAACCGGGGAAAGATCCCGGCAAGATCGGGAAGAAGAATCACACTTTCTTACAATTTAAAACAATATAATGGCAATGGATACTTGGTCCTACCTAGGGTTAGGGTTTGTGGGCACTCTATGTCACAAAATAGTGTAAGAGCTTCTCGACAATCAATCGATCGTCTCATCGCTGGCTTTCAGGATGCGCTGTTCTTCGCGGGATCCATCCCGAGCGCCGTAGCTACCGCGCAGCAGAGCTCCAAAGTATTTCTTGTCTACATTGCCAGTAATCAATCTCTTGCTTTTCCCCCTTTCGATTCTCTCCTAAAATGTGTGGCTTAGATGATGGCGAGGAGTCGGCGAGGCTGGAAGAAACGACCTGGAGAGCGCCGCAGGTAAGAGAATTCACAATACTTTCAAGGAAGAGCTTCGATTTTCGCAAGCGCAGGTTGTAAGCTTGATTCTGGAAAAGTTTGTTGCTCTTCGTTTGGTGCATGGAAGCGTTGATGCGCTTCACTTCTCGGTTTTATGTATGCTTTGCAATTTTGATCTTCTTGGAAACGATCAAGCTTGTTTCCAATGTCTCAATGCAGATCCTATATCAGCTGTGCCTAGCATTACAGCCATTGGCTACCAAGGTGTAAAGTTATGGGAGCAAAGTAAGGATTCTTTGCTGGTTTTTCTCTTGCTCTCAACTCGCTTTTGTAGACGGATTCATCACTCCAGAGGAACTCTCGAAAAGGTTGCAATATGCCGTGGATACGTTCCAATTCCAGGTAGCCTTTCCCTTCAGTTTTGGATAGATAAATTACACCTTCGCTCCTTCCTTCTTCTGTATAGGTGCAAACAGCCATGGCTGCTTTGTTGGGCATGCCAACAGCGTCATCAAGCCTTGAAACTCCGGAAAGCGCCGCATCCTCAAAACCCGAGGAGCCGACACAAACTTTGTCATCAAGCCTTGAAACTCCGCAGAACGCCGCATCCTCAAAACCGGAGGAGCCGACACAAACTTTGTCATCAAGCCCTGAAACTCCGCAGAACGCCGCATCCTCAAAACCCGAGGAGCCGACACAAACTTTGCCAGCATTAAAAGAAGCGTCTCTTTGCAAAGTCGAGGAAAAGAACGAGACACTAGCAACCACGTCCGACCCGGGTGACGAGCTCTCGAAACCAGTGCCACGAACCGAGTCCGATCGTGGTGAGGAGCTCTCGGAAGATACGAGCCAGATGCCTGTGTTGACTGCGCCAGCCATCGGTCGAGCCGTGGAAGAGGAAATCCAAACTCCACCCGACCAGAGCGTGGAGCCTGTGGAAGAAGTAAAGGGCTGCGTGCTCGAAGTGCCGGTGGCCAAGAAGAAGACCACCACTCCACCATCGCCACCGCCACCCGAGCCGAGACCTTTGAGAATCCCAGACAAGGTCCACTTGCAGGTGAAGCTCACGGATGGAGCAGTGATCCGCCGCGAGTTTGAGAAGAGCGACACTCTCTGGACAGTGAAATACTTCGTCGACGAGAACAGGACGGATGGCAACGCGAGCTACGCCTTTGCGGTTCCATTTCCTCGCAAGATCTTCAATGCTGAAGGTAGAGTTGATGGTTTCTTTCTACTCTTAACATCTCGTCTTCCAGATTACGAGAACGCTCTGGTGGACCTTGATATCGGCTACCGCGCTGTGCTTATCCTGGTACCAAGCAGCGATGCCAAGCTTGTGACAAGCCCCTCGAAGCCTTCCAGTCCAACTGGTGGCATGGGGCGATGGCTCACGTATCTTAATCCTCTTTCTTACGTTCGTGGTGGCAACGCTTCTCCTTCCGAGAGGCCAAAGTCTCCTCCATCGCCATCGCCAGCAGGTTTGCTCTTAGTTCTTGTTCTTGCTCTCATTATGTGATTTTCTCTTCCAGCTTCGAAGCCCAGCATCAATGACGCTGATAACTCGAGAAAAGCGCCGCCACCTGCGAAGAGATCAAGCACTAGCTGGGGAAGTAACGTCCACACTCTGAGGCACGACGAGGACGACGATATGTTCAAGCGAGGCAACACGTACTGGAATGGGAATGCCACGCAGTTCGGTGCTAACGACAACGACGAGCGCAAGTGAGTAAATTATGTATGTACCTCTCTCTTATTGTAGGAGTCGTCGATAAGGAAGAACAAAAACAATAAATTCTTGCCTGGATTCACTGCTTTTCGAGCGAAGTCGAGCCTTCATCGTCGACACGGGCCTTTCCTTTCCTATCCCGGAAGGCCTCGTCGCTATCTCCTAGATGCTGCTCCTCCTCTTGAGACGACGCGTCGCCCATACTCTTTTGCAGCTCCAGTGCTACGTTGAGCTGTTGCCGGAGAAGCTAGACAAGAGATTCCATGAGTTAGAACAAGACCAAAAGAACGAGAACATAGAAAAGCAAAAGAGGTGGCTTACCTCGATCGTGCTTTGGAGGTACTTGTGTTGGACGTTACTCTGCTGCTGTTGCTGGGGACTGCTGCTAGTTGCGGCAGACCTTTCTCCAGACTTGGACTGTGAGGGCCAAGAAGGCCCTGGTAGTATTGGCAGAAAGAAGACGCGGTCACCTAAAGCCACCGACGGCTGCCCAGGGGAGTTATGTCGAGCGTGGAGCTGCCCAGGGGAGTTAGAGCTGCCGCCTGTGTCGGCGGTAGCTTTCTTCTCGACTTGTGGCGATGCCGCTTCGTCTTTAAGAGGTTGCTGGTTCTGCGGAACTAGAGGAAGGTACATAGGATACCTGGTTAACCAAGTCAGAAAAAAAGAGTGAGAACGAGAAGAAGAAAAAAAGTACCAGCTCATTGTTCCAGAGGCTCCAGTTGCAGGATAAACAAAAGACGAGCCATATTGCGCGGCCGCGGCTGCCGCAGCTTGCATCCTTGCTCTTGCTTGGTCAGCCTCCGGTGGTACGTTGCCTTCCGCGGCGTTGGCGGGGGTAGCTTGTCCTGGAAAAGCGAAGGTAAAATAAGTTGGCACTTGAGGAGCTGCTAATGCCACATACCTTCCGGTGCCTGGCCTTGCTGTTGCTGCCTTTGTGATGCAGCCTGCGGTCCTCCCTCTGCTGCTATGACTGGAGATCTGCAAGTCGGACAAGTCTGCTGCCTCTCTAGCCACGAACGCAGGCAGTGGACATGGAAAAGATGGCCGCAAGGGAGTTTCTTTGCTGTGCTCATCTCTTCGCGACAAATAATGCACGTCGCATCGCTACTGCGATAAGAAAAACCGTGTCTCAGATAAAAGAAAATGCAAAGAAGAGCACAAATACAGACCGTCCCAGCTCTTCTGCAGTGGCATCCGGAAACCGCTCGTTCATGTTGGATGTCACTTTTCTATACCGTATAAAGTCGGTCACCCTGGCTTTGAAGTTTCTAAAGATCTCGTAGAGTTCACGAACCAGATGCAGGGGCAGACCATAGTTTCTGCAAGCCAAAAACACAAACATTAGACAAAAAAAAAGGATTTGAAAAGCTTGAACGTACACGAAGATAACCAGGAAAAAGAAGAGATAAAGCGAGAGGTGGAGCAGATCACGAACGAGCTCCAAGTAAAAGATATACACGGCCTTATTGTCCCACTGGCCGTCCATCCACATGTCACCCATATACAGCGAGTACTTTAGAAACATAGAGACGACCGAAGTTGCCAAGATCACGTACCTGCAAAACCAAAGAACTTTATAGAGCGTCTACAACTCGAGGCGACAAGGAGAACTCACTCGAAAGCGAAAAAGAGCGACACTGATGCCTGCTTCGTCCGGAGGAGATACGACACGGACGAATGCACGAAGATTGAGTCGAGAACCAAGAGGAACGCCATGAAGGACGCGATCCTGGCGTGGGAGAGGCGAGAGACAGTAGGCGTGATCTCGATATACTCCACCCTCTTCTGCGCCAGCCAGTGGAAGGCCTTGACAAACAGGAGCACTGTCACCATGGCGATGAAGGACACGTTAAACTCCTCCCGGAAGATGGTCATGGCGAACAAAACCTCCATGAGCTCCCTCCACAGCTGCTCGTTGAGCCGCTCCACCTCGGCCTCGCGCAGCGACCCCAGGAAGATCATCTTGATCAGCTGCCACACCGCATAGAGCACCACAAAGGCGAAGTTGAGGAGCAGTAAAACGCTGATCTTGGAGGTGCTGAGGTAAACCATGGCCGGGTAGAATTGCTCCCTGCTGTAGAAGGCATGGTAGACCACAGCCACGGCGCCAATCACACTCGCGGCCGCATACGTCCCAAGCTTCACCATCCCTTCCTGTGGCTCCCTCTCTCGATCGAAGGATTATTCCCTCGCGCTTCCCTAAAACCAGACCTAAATCTGCCCGGCCTCTCGCAGCGACAATCTATCCAGTGACAATCGCAGCGGCGTCCACCTAATCTCACCTTCCTCCTTGAAATCCCTGGAGCTAGCACACCCGATTCAACAACCAGACTACTCCGCGCTTAAGCATCGAGCCGCGCAGCCATCGCAAAATCCAGCGCCGCCGAGCTCCAACCCGAGCGATCTAGCGCCATCGCCAGCGACTTCCATCCTGGGCTACTTCTGCAGTAAAAACGCTAAAATTTAGGGTACACTGATCTTACGTGGCCACGTCGCCTGCCAATGGGCGTCTGCCGCGTGGTCCCGGCAGCGAACGCGCGGTTGCCACGTAGCACTGTCTGAGAGATTCAAAAGATTCACGCTGAATATCTCTCCCCCGCGGCTACCACGCTATCTCTTGCCCATCCCACGCGAAGAATTTGCCAGTGTCTTTCATCCCAACGCGGTCTATGATCGCCAGGAGCTTGCTCACGGAGAATTCTTTCGTGAAGAGCTTCTCTTTGGCGACGTTGCGCTGGTATGGCTTGGAGAGATCGGTGTCCACGGTTCCGGGATGGAGCAGCACGCAGGCAACGGGATCTCTCCTCCGAGCTAGCTCGATCGATATGGTTTTCGTCACTGGAGAGAGCTTGTGAGCTCGAATTCTAGAGGAATGGAGCGAGAACTTACACTGATTCAGTGCTGTTTTGGACGCTCGATATGACAGCCAGCCTCCCAGCTTGTTGTCCCCGATCGATCCAACTCGGGCGCTCAAGTTGGCGATCACTGGAACTTCTCGGCTTCCTCCGGATTTGAGTAGCGGCGACATATGCTGGAATTCAATCGAAACGGCACAAAGTCACGACGAGAATTCGAAGGAAGAAGATGGAGAAACCTTCATGACAAGTGCTGGACCAGCGGCATTGATCTGGAAAGTGAGAAGTAGCGCATCCTTCTCCAGTTTGCTCAGCGATGTCTCTAAAACCAGAAGCTAGAAACTCGGGCATGGAAAAGAGAAAAGAGTACCCGGTGTGACGAGATTTTCGACGTGAAGGATTCCCGCGGTGTTGACAAGTAGCTCCAATGGCCCATGAAACTTTGATACTTGGTTAGCTGCTTCCTAGTTTCACGCAGCCACTTGGAAACGATGAACAAGAAAGAAATCCAGGAAGTTTACCTTGATCGTGTCTTCGTCCGTGACATCCAGGCCTAGAACTTGAAGTCGATCAGGATACTGCTCTTTGAGAGCTGCCAAATTCTCGGCCTTTACAGGATTTCGGCAAGTAGCAACCACGAAATCCTTGGAATTCCTCTCCAGCAACTGCCTCACCTGGACAAAGACGAAGATTATCACACGATCGATAGCGAAAGATTCAAGAACATTGAGAACCAAGACAGGAACACAAAGAAAATGAGAATATCGCACACGAATTCCAGCCCCAACCCCCTGGATGCTCCTTGGATGAGCGAAACGCCAGCTCGGCTACCTGCATTCTCGCACAGCGCTCGAAATCGCGAAATCTGTAGAGGAATCGCGAGAAGCGGCCGCTTGCGCCGAGCCAAGACACCCGCCATTGCTTTCTAGGGCTCTAGGTAAGCAAGCCCAAAATTTAGGGCTCCTCCAACGAGCGACGCAGACCGGGGCGGCTTGGCACGGCGGCGAGGTGCGTTCATGCAATCCATTGCCCGCATTCTCGATCTCGCGCACGATAAACGCGAAATTTCATCAGTGTCGCTCGAAATTTCGCTCGATCGAGAATTACCTCCTGCTCATCGCCTTGCTTGTTTTGCAGGCATGGCTTTCGAACGGGACTACGAGCTGGAGCCGACCCAGCCAGACGCTGCTGCAAAGGTTTCGTGCAAGACTGGTGACAACGCTTGCATCAATTCGATCCTCACGGATGATAGCTTGCGAGCGATCCTTTCCAAGCTCGACACGCAGGGTGAGAGGGATAACTATAGCCTTGTTTGCAAGCGCTGGCTGATGGTCCAAAGCACGGAGAGACGGCGCCTCGCAGCACGAGCCGGGCCACTCATGCTACAAAAAATCGCTGCTCGCTTCACGAACTTGATAGAGCTCGACTTCGCGCAGAGTACCTCCAGATCTTTCTTTCCTGGAGTCATCGACGCGGATCTGGAGACCATAGCCAAGAACTTCGACAACTTGGAGCGCATCAACTTACAAGAATGCAAAGGTTTCTTTGCTTTCCTTTTTTATTTTCTGGAGTGTTGCTCTTACAGTTCTTCGTTGGTTTGTTCTTGGATAGGAATCACTGATGTGGGAGTTGGAGTTTTGGGCAAAGGAATTCCAGGATTGCGTTGCGTGGTCTTGTCCGGCTGCAGGAAAGTCACCGATAGAGCGATCGAGGTGCTCGCAAATTCTTGCTCGAGACTGATAAGCCTCCGAGTTGGTGGATGCAAGCTAGTTTCGGACAGGGCCATGGAAGCTCTGTCAAGCAACTGCAAAGAGCTGGAGGTGCTCGACGTGAGTGGCTGCATTGGTGTCACAGACCGAGGCTTGCGAGCGCTCGCCCGCGGCTGCTGCAAGCTCCAGCTACTTGACCTTGGCAAATGCGTGAAAGTTGGAGACAGTGGAGTGGCGAGCCTCGCAGCGTCCTGTCCGGCTTTGAAAGGCATCAACCTCCTCGACTGCTCGAAGCTCACGGACGAATCCATCGCCTCGCTCGCCCGACAGTGCTGGAGCCTCGAGAGTTTGCTTCTGGGGGGCTGTAGAAATCTCACCGACGCCTCCATCCAGGTGGTGGCGAAGGAACGGGGACAGGTTCTGAAACACTTGCAACTCGACTGGTGCTCCGAGGTGACCGACGAATCGCTCGTAGCGATCTTCTCCGGCTGTGACTTCCTGGAGAGGCTGGACGCTCAGAGCTGCGCCAAGATCACGGATTTGTCGCTGGATGCCCTCCGGAATCCTGGGTTTTTGAGAGAGCTGAGGCTCAATCACTGTCCAAACATCTCCAACGCAGGGATTGTGAAGATTGCAGAGTGTTGCCCAAGGCTGGAACTCTTGGAGCTAGAGCAATGCTTTCAGGTGACATGGGAAGGCATAGAAGCAGGTGGTTTTCCATCAGCCTGCAAGATTGTTCTTACTAAAAAATAAAAATAAATTAATAGATGTTAACATTAATTAAGTATTTTAAAGTGATAACTACTTTTTTCTCATTATTCATGCAATAATATTTTGGAGCTGATTAATTTTGATGAGTTTATCAATATAATAATTTTATGTTATTAGCTATTGTAAGTGCTCAGGATTACAAACCGTATATTTGATAAAAAATGCAAAACTTTTAAGACAAAAGATATTAAATACTATTTATTTTAGCAAGATAACAATGAAAATAATTTATAATTATTAACATTTTGAACACTAAAGAAGAAACTCTTCTAAAGAGCAGCACATGTTAATTAATGTCTAATTTAGAGCCATTTATAAAATCTTGACTGATTTTAATATTTAATATCAAATAAATCATAAATAATTAGATGGTATATATATTAACTTACTTATAAATAACATTACATTATTTTGAAATATGAGCAAGAAACAACAAAATATAATTAAATTTATAAGTGCATGAAATATGGATATAGAATACAAAAATGTGAATATTAATTAGCCCTAATTTATATACAAAAGCAAATGGTCCAGATTTAAACCAATCCAATGGGTATTAAAATCCCACTACACTAATATTAATATACAACAAAAAACATCAAAGGGATGCATTAATGAATCTATAAATAGTGCTAGTTGTTTATGATCCCTTTGTACAAAATGTTTTATTTATTACATATGTACAATTTTTGGAAAATTAGATTGTTGAATGGTATGCCAAACCTTATAAACTTGCAATTTAACTTGTTATAACATTTGATATGGTCCCTTTTATTGAGCAAGGAGCCCCTAGGAATACAGATGAACATCAATTCATCCACTTAATACTCTATAGGTGGACAATAATGGGAATTATAACATTATTTTTGTCTTAGTTATATGTGGCTTAGATGTTTAGCAAATTTTGCTTGGACAAGTGGAAGAATGTTTATCAAATATTGATCCTAAAACCTAGTATCGGTAGCTTATGGTAATCACAAAGGTAAATTCACCTCTATTGGCAGTATCAAATCATAAATATATAAGAGTTTATATAATGAAGCACCAATATAAATCTGTACCCCTATGATATATACATGCTGAAGAAACAACAAATAATCATCCTAATCCGAATGTTAAAAGTTCATAAATTTTGCAATCATCCCTTTGAATGTTCGAACAAGTCATTCCACTAAATTATTTGCTTGTGGATGAAAAGCACTTATGAAAGTATAGCATATCCTTAACTAACATGTTGAAACATGAAATACCTTTGCCATAAATACAGAACTATTATCTAAGAAAATCCACTCTAGATAAGAATGCTAAAATACCATTTGATTGAGGAGGAAATATCCAATAGTAGTTGAAAATGCACTAACAAAAGCACCAATCTCCACTTAGCGAGTCAAACAATTAAAAACAATACATTGTAAGCAATTAATTATGAAAAAGTACCCATCAAATCAAATGCCACCAACTCAATTGGATGGGAAACTGCAATTGACTTTAACCATCCTTCTGCAGCATGAAAGGAGCATTATGAGCTTAGCACTAAACATAATTACACATGTATTGGACAACATTACATTACATTTCTGGTCAATAAAAAGATCTATACAACATTTCTGGCCAACAGAAAAACCTATATAACTTCTCAATCATATATACCCACCTAGAATAATAGAGTTATGATAAGTATGGAGAAAGTAAGGAATAAATATTGAAAGCACCACCATTTGTAAATGATCATTAGGATCAGTTTTATTAAAATAAAGAAGTTCATTCTTAAGGCGATATTGAGAATATATATGTGGAAATGGTAAGTTATCAGTAAGTGATGCAAAATTTTCAAACTTCTTACAAATCCTTTAAATCCACAACTCAACCTTTTAAGCATTACAAACCTTGTCAAGAGAAGGTAAATCTTGTTCCACACTTTATAGACATTAAATATCAAGTATAACAACCATTGATGGTATGGAATCCTTGTCTTGAAAATCTATAGATGTTAGAATAATAGGCTTGTTAGAAATAGGAGAAGAGAGTAAAGAAGGGAGAGGAGCTCGAGAAAGGGCATCGGTCATAAAATTCCCTAGGCAACGAACAACCTCCAAATCATATATTTAAAACTTTAGAGCTTATTAAGCAATACGACTAATTTAGTTTTTCCACTTCAATAACAAAGTAACTGTAGCATGATCACCATGCAAATACACATAAAACTTCTCAAAACCCCAAAATATTGCTAAATAGTCTATGGAGTAATTTACTTTTACTAGTTGTATATATCAAAATTTAAGGAGTCATCAATAGCACTTTGAGATCCATAAATGCCCATTCATAGTCCATAAACCAAATAAAAGATGATATTAATAGCTTCAATAATGCTCATAAATGTGTAGTATGATCAAAAAAATGATTAACAAAATGATTGAGATATTACACTATGTATAAAAAGTGTTACACATCATTCACACACTTTGGAGTAGAGAATTTTAAAATAGCCATAAGATTTTTAGAATCAACTTGTAAATCTTTATGAGAAATATGGTACCTAAGATAAGTCATGTCCCATTTCGACCACTTCAGTTTAAAACTAACTTCCCACGATTGATCTAACACTTTACAAACTTCATGGATATGCTCCTTTTATATCTCCTCCGAGTGGATAAAGACATCATCAACAAAATTAGCAATCACCTTTGGCATATCACAAAAAAATTTGTTTATCATCTATTAGAAAATCATTAAAGCATTGTTCAAACTGAATGACATAACCAAGAATTCATACAAACTAAATGTTATACAAAAAGTAACTTTGATAACATCTTCCTTGGCCATTAATACTTGTTAGTACCTATAAGCAAGATTTAATTTGGTGAATTAGCAACTTTTCCTTAAATAATCCAAGAGAGCAATAGTGTGAGGAAAAAGGTATACATATAAAATAGTCATCTCGTTAAACAAATGATAGTTGATGCAGAAGCAAATACTCCCATTATGCTTCATCACAAAATGAGGTTTATATGCCCAAGGACTTTGAGACTTTGAGATATCACCCTTCTTTAGCATTTCTTTGATGTTCACGGATAAAATTTTGATCCCCTTTAGTGACCAATGCTAAATAGAAATTTTGATTGGACAAGCATCCCCAATTGGAATATGATGACATATTGCTATCTTGGCCCTAGACAACAGGTCAAAGTCGAAAAGATTAACATACTTCTTTTTTAGTCAATCCACCATTATAACATAAAGACCATTAGAGGGATTTGGAGAAGGAATAGCAGAGCAAGATAGAAACACCATGGGAAGTAATGGAGAGATAAAAGTGATGGAAGCACATGGACAAAAGGGAATTAAAGTGAGAGGAATGGAAGAAATATAAAAATGTATAAGATAAAGAGAAAAGCCTTAAAGTCATATTTAACATGATTACATTACAATTAATCAATATAAAGGATGAGGTTAAAAGTTTGACTCGAAACCACCCACAATGATTAAAGTTCAAACTTGAGATTTCCCACG